CAATATATACAACTTAAATAACTTTTATAGTATATTATTAATTTTAAATTATATATTTAATAATATAATATCTATGTAAATATTACATATATTATTTTGTGATATCAATTGCAAGCATATTATATATGCACATATTATTTATATTTTTAATTTGTATTAATATACAGTTTAACATGTAATTTTTTATATATTTTTTTACAAAATAAAAATAAAAATAATTTTAAATAAGATAGAAAAATTGAAATTTAAAAATAAGATATGAATTTATTTATTTATTTAATATAAATAAATAAAAATCGAGTCATACAGTTCAACTAGTGACCTACCGGTTCAACATTTGACCCACTGACCTAGTACCTTAACCGGTTCGATGACCGGTCCAATTTTTAAAACTATGATTCAAACATTAAATATATAGATTATTAAGAAAATAAATTTAATTAAAAAAATATAAAACACAATTAAATTTAATTCATATGGTAAAAGAGTTGACATGTTGTTAAATAAAAAAATTTTAACATATAAAAAATAAATAAATATCAATATAAGTATAAAAAATAAAAAATAAAAAAGACGAAAAAAAAACGAAGGGATCAACCGCCCTTTTATACGAGACTCCATATCATAAACTTCATAAATTATTAAAACTACATATAACAAAAAAAAAAGCATATAAAGATTTTCAAGTTTTGATGGGATACTATTATAGTAAGACTCAAAATAACCACCAAACCACTATCTTTCTTAACTACATTCATCTCAACAACACACATACATTGAATCCAAATAAATATCTGCATAATAAATAAATAAATAAAGACTCGTGTGATGTATATTCTTAACTATACATGCATGTGATATTAATCTCCTCATCATTAGTATAAAGCTAGGAGTCATAGATCAAATCACCACATACTCAATAACCTTCTCAATCTACTTTCAACTAGGAAATTTCTATTAGGATTTAGTTAAAGCATTATAGTCAATCATGGTTACTTTCCATTCTTATTAAACGTTCCCTACCATAACACTCTCAAAGTCTAGATAGATGACCATAGAAACCCTTCTACATCTTTTATATTTAGGAACTAATATTTCACATATTATACTTATAAATTAATCGTCCATTTCTTTCTATCTAAGTTCTTTTACATATTTTTCTAAATTAAGTTTTAATATTTTTTTAATGAACTTGTCAATATTTAAAATCAACATTATACTATAATCTTAAATTTTTATTATAAAAAAAATTATATATTTAAAATATTAATTATTATGAATTTTAATTTTGGACGAATATGGTATTGGTACAAGTTATTCATTATCAAAAATAGTGACTAATTTTTATCGGAACTGTGAACACACATCAGGTATTCCAATCCTAACATAATTTATTTCATATTCAAGATAATGATTTAAACTATGAACAACTTAGTTAAAAAAACGTAACTGGTTATCATTATTACTTGTCTCAATGTTCATTTTATTAAGAATTTTAATTGAATTAATAATATTCTCATTTTAAAAATTTTCAAATGCAATAAATTTGTTAACTTTTATAATAATTATCTTAAAAATTATATTGATAATATTTATAATTATATTATAAATATTATTAATAGTGACATGATGGGTATTTTGGTTTAATTGTATATGTAATTAGAGTTGTTGGGTTAAAAAATTTGTTATATGTTTGTGTATTTTACATATTCCATTTGTGTTTTTAGGTCTGGATTTCAGTTGTGAACAATTTTGTGTTAACGGATGGCCTTAAGCCACATGTGGGTTTTCTGTAAACTCATGAGACTCCTTTCATTTGAGTATGTTTATTAGTTATGTTCAAGGGGAGATACCAACTTAAATCAAATACATTATATAATGGAGAGTTCGAATCAAATCAAATACATTATACAATCGAGAGTTTGAATTGTTACTATAATTTACTGTTTCGAGGATTTCATTAGGTTTTTTTCTCATTTTTTTCAAAGGTATTTTTGATCAGATCATGAAATTTTATCAATGGTCAAGTTGGTGAAGATGGATGCCCACGAAGAGCATTTGAACATCATAGTGGGATTGGATAAGGGCAAATATTATCACCAACTAACGAATAATTTATTTCATCAACTTCTGTTTCTATAAATAATGATACCAACTGTCCTAATTGCATAAATGAATTCAAGCATGATGATGTTGGACGTGGGAACTAGGTTCACAATCCAATGAAATTTCCAAGTAAACAATTCTTTGTATTCATAACTTTAATATCAATGAAAATTCATATCACAATTCCCATAAAAGAGTCGTGTGTTTTTGTTGGTAGTTATTGATTATATGTTTCCTTTCGATGTTAAATGTGGTTAGGGTGATTGAGGAAGTGGTTAATGAATCTGAAAAGAATTTGGATGAAGAGAAGTCTACAGGTGAGGAAGATGCAACAAAAGGAAACAAGGACGGTCCTACTATTGACAATGAAGAAAAGGAGCTTGAGGGTAAGGTGGATGGTTGTTTCATTTAAAGCTTCTCGCATTTGGCCTAAATCTCTAGTTGCATCTTTAAAGTTTTCTACACTTCATGATCAAGAAACAAACAAAAGATATACATCTTATTAATTAATGACAAATCATTCAAATTCCCATAAACTTTGATATAGGTTGTCTATTTTCTCACCGATTTGAGGCTTGGCCTAAAGTTAGTAATGACATGATGGGTATTTTGGTTTAATTGTATATGCGATTAGAGTTGTTGGGTCAAAAATCTTGTTCTATGTTTGTGTGCTTTTCAAATTCTATTTGTGTTTTTAGGTTTGGATTTCAGTTGTGGACAATTTTGTATTAACGGATGGCCTTAAGCCACATGTGGATTTTCTATAAACCCATGAGACTCCTTTCATTTGAGTATGTTTATTAGTTATATTCAAGGGGAGATACCAAATTAAATCAAATACATTATACAATGGAGAGTTCGAATAAAATCAAATACATTATACAATCGAGAGTTTGAATTGTTACTATAATTTATTGTTTCGAGGATTTCATTGGATATTTTTTTCATTTTTTCAAAGGTATTTTTTATCAGATCATGAGATTTTATCAATGGTCAAGTTGGTAAAGATAGATGACCACAAAGAGCATTTGAACATCATAGTGGGATTGAATACAAGCAAATATTATCGCCAACTAACGAATAATTTCTTTCTTCAACTTCTATTTCTATAAATAATGATATCAACTGTCCTAATTGCATAAATGAATTCAAGCATGATGGTGTTGGACGTTGGAATTGGGTTCACAATCCAATGAAATTGCCAAGTAAATAATTCTTTGTATTCATAACTTTAATATTAATGAAAATTCATATCACAATTCCCATAAAAGAGTCTTGTGTTTTTGTTGGTAGTTATTGATTATATGTATCCTTTTGATGTTAAATGTGGTTAGGGTGATTGAGGAAATGGTTAATGAATCTGAAAAGAATTTGGATGAAGAGAAGTCTGCAAGTGAGGAAGATGCAACAAAAGGAAATAAGGATGGTCCTACTATTGATAATGAAGAAAAGGAGCCTAAGGATAAGGTGAATGGTTGGTTCATTAAAGCTTTCTACATTTAGTCTAAATCAATGGTTGCATCTTTAAAATTTTCTACACTTCATGATCAAGAAACAAACAGAAGATATGCATCTTATTAATTAATGATAAATCATTCAATTTCCCATAAACTTGGATATAGGTTGTGTATTTTCTCACCGATTTGAGGCTTGGCCTAAAGTTAGTAGTGACATGATGGGTATTTTGGTTTAATTGTATATGCGATTAGAGTTGTTAGGTCAAAAATCTTGTTCTATGTTTGTGTGTTTTTAAAATTCCATTTGTGTTTTTAGGTTTGGATTTTAGTTGTGAACAATTTTGTATTAACAGATGGACGTAAGCCACATGTGGGTTTTTTGAAAACCCATGGGACTCTTTTCATTTGAGTATGTTTATTAGTTATGTTCAAAGGGAGATATCA